CCCCCCGCGACCACCACTAATTGGGAATGGGGCGCGAAATGCTCAGCCAGCGCTTCAGGCAGCGCGACACAACACTCACTCCGTACTGCCAAGAGCAGCGTGAGCCTGGCCCCGCAACACACAAACATTCGCCGCCCGGCGTTTTGTCAAACGTCACGACTTGAACAAAAACAAGCGAAAAAGAACAACTCGTTCACGACTGACTGCGCCGTTGGGGATGAGATAGTTAACGTTTGACCGTTTATTCTCGTGGCCTAGAAGTTTGTGAAATGCGCATTCTTCCAGGGGTGTTTTGTATTCTGTGTGGGTTTGCCCACTCCCTGCGCCCCTGCGGCCCGAGCGAGCTTGTACTACCCCGCGGCACTGCTGCGGAGCTCTTCGGCGCGATCCTGGTGGTATGCGCGGTCCGCCCTCGCCAGCCACGGCGCTCGCCGGGCCGCTCTCCCCCCGAGCACGTTCGCGTCGACCGAGGATGTTTATGGCGGTCATTACGAGGAGGCCCCCGCGCAAGGAAGCTAAATGGAAGGTAAGCGGTAAGCCGCTGCTCCCCGCGGGGCTCCACGGGGGCGCGCGGCTTCGACGGGGCCATTTGGCGCGGACTCACCCTCGCACACAACTCATTTGACAGAGCAGCATGCTGTACGCACGCGAGCAGCCGCTTGCAAATCCTAAGAAGAAGTGTGCGGCAGAACGAGAGAGGTCCACATGTGTGACAATCGTTCGTCATCAGCCCTGGCTCTGTCACACTCGCCGCCGCACCGACTATTCGCTCCTCGTTGTGACTCACGCGAATGGACTCGGAGCGGGCAAACGATGACATGTGACATGTGAGCTCTGGTACCGCAGCCGCAGAGGAGCCCCCCCCCCCTCCCCGGTCACATCTCCCCTCCTGAATAGGGCGCGTTTTTTAACACAATCCGACTGCCGCCGACCGCAAACACTGGCGCCGCGAGTCGGGAAAAAAAGTTGTAAGTGTACCAATGGAAAGAGTTGCCGAAAAGCCGCGCGGGAAACTCTTCGCGGCATCTGTACAATAACATGGCGACGCGTTCATTGCGAGGGATGCGCTGTACCAGGTGGCTGATTCACATATCGCGCACTTATAGTGTACGCCTACACGCATCATTCACGCATCCTCGCCTCCCATGGCTCCTTGTGGCCCCGTGCGAGTAGGCAACCCGCCCGCATGCGCGCATGCGGTACAGTATGACTACGAAAGTGCTCGGCGTGAGTCAACCACCTGGTATACCGGAGGGGGAAGGGAGATTCAAGTTCATGCAACGCAGAGAGGCTGGATTGGCCACACTCCCTCAGACTCTGGCATTCTGCAAGAAGTACTCACCGCCGCGTCCTGCTGGCCGGGGCCGCCGGGGCCGCCCTGCGCGCCCTGCAGCAGGTCCTCCAGGCTCTCGATGTACTCGATGGCGTTGCGGAGGATCTCGACCTTGGGCAGCCGCTGGTTGGGGTTGGTGGACGTTCTCCTCTTGAGCACCTCGAAGGCCTCGTTCACCTTGCGGAGGCGGCGCCGCTCGCGCAGGGTGGCCGCCTTCCTCCGGTCCACCGTGACGGTCTTCTTCTTGCAGGCCTTGCACGCCCACAGCAGGCACCGCCGGCCGCCGTGGCCGCCACCCCCGGCCGCGCCCGCCGCCG